TCGCCGTAGTGTTTTCTCCTTCCTTCTCCTCCTTCTGTAGTTTTTCTTTCCCCTGTAGGAATCTCTAAGAAGAGCTTGCTTTATTTTTTCCCAGCCCGGATGTGCATTGAAGTTAGCAAAACATGAGGAGAGAGAAGTTCTTGATGAAGATGGCTACTTCTGGTTCGACTTTCAGGATTACCAGGGAACCTCAGAGACTGTTTAAGTTAGAGAATCTGTTAGGAGAAAGCAAATGGGCCTGCTTCCTCTTTGTGCTGTGAGTAGAGCATTGGACTGGCCACGGTCTCGTGGAGAGCTCTGGGGGTTTTCTGGAGACAGAATATAAAGGCTCACCCTACCATTCTTTTCCCTCACCCTGCTTACAGACCCAGTGGAATTTTCTGGAGCCTCCAGAAGGAGGGTGTAGGGATGGTATGATGAGCTCTCAGGACTATTGCCCTGAGTTTCTAAAGCACGTGAGCTGAGTGGAAGTGAGCCATCTCTCTTGCAGTGCACAGTGGCACTGATCTCGGTCTTCCCACTCTACAGGCACCTCACGCTTAAGGCCCCTGCTGTCCCACATGATCCATCTGTGTGACTACCACCCTCTTCTTGTTGCTCACTGGGACCATCTGTAATGCTGGCCCTCTTAGAAAAATCTTGCCTGTTAAGAAATCTCATCTCTTCTTTCCTTACTTGAGCATCCTGCGTTCCACAGTGTCAGTCACAAGGGAACCAGCAGCTCTGTCCCTGCAAAGAGCTGAGATTAGGTTAAGATCTGAGTGTACAGCCTTCCTCCGTAGCTCTGCAATGCTCCTTACTGCATTGGTTAAGCTCAGATATGTAGGGCCTGCTGGTTCAGACTCTGAAGGCCAGGCATGTTTCCCTGGCTTCGCTGATCCTACATCTTGTTGATCCTATCCCCTGCCAAACAGGACAAAGCAATCTACAGAGGAAAACCCACCCTCTGGATAGCTGGGGAAGCTGATTCTGCCCACCCCCCAGTTCTGTACTGGGTGCCATGAGCACACAGAGCAAAGAGCCTACATTTTCACAAGCAGGTCAGCAGGTGTACACACTCTGAAGGTGTTCACCCAGGACCCCTATCAAGAAATACGTTCCACCACATACACTCTAGAAGCATCTATCTTAGAGGACTCTGTACTGTAGAAATTAATTGAAACATATGGATGACCCTGTGACTTATATATTTTCATGGTAATATATGCTTGGTACCAGGAGCAATGAAACAATGAGCTCAGGGCTGCCTTCTGCCTGGAGACGCTGTACTGATCATAATGGGTACCGGATTTCTTCGTAGCTGCCAGGAGGTGGGTAGGCAGCTTGTGCTGTATTGATCAGAAGTGAGTACATGACTACCAGGAGCTGTAGTTGCTTGGAGAGACCCTGAGTCCTACCACTTGCTCATGAAATGTCCAGCTTGAGCAGTAGAGCCACGAGGGGGCACTCTTGACCCACGCTGGATGAGGCCTTCCTGAGGGCTGGATGGCTTTAGAGGTGGACCTTCCAGTGGGAGGCAGAAGAGTGGTGTCTAGCCTGTTGACACAGGAGGAACAGGCCCTGCAAGCTTTCTACACCCAGCTCCAAATCCTCTGTTGCCTAGGCTGCTGCTCGGCCCACTGTCCTGGGGAGCCGCTGTTTACTTTGCCATAGATAGACCCAGGCATGAAGTCTACTGGAGCGGCCAGATGCAGGAGCTCAGGGCAGGCTTTTCTGAGATGTCCTTGGCAAATTGTAGTGGGGTCTTGGAGTTCTGCTGGGACTGGGCGGGCTGGACAGCAAGGTTCATGACCTCCTTGTCCTTTTTGGTTCTTGAAGGTCAGTGGTTCAGGGCTTTGTGACTTAGACAAGTGCCACACAGATGAATTGTTATTCTGCAAAAGCAGCTCGTAATGAGTAGTTTGGCTAGAAAATGCAAGCGTGTCTGACCTCCTTTCTGTCACTGGCAAAACAAAGAGGCAGAAGGAGAAGCCACAGTTGGTCAGCGTGGTGCTGACCCAGGAAATCCAAGCAAGTGGACGGAGCAGAAGACACATGTTTCCCTACGGTTGGGTGCAAGTCCCCGCTGAACATCACTGTGTCTGGACAGTGTCCCTGTCACCTGAGCGTCACTCCAGAGTGATGATACACATACCTTAGATGGGTAGATGATTCGAATGCATTCATATTGCTGACAGCAGAGTCACCCTTCAAGAAAGGAGCACAAGGGCTCTCTTTGGTGTCTCGTCCCTTCTTGTCACCTAGCCCGATTCTGGTTCTGGCTTCAGTATGACCTTATTTTAACCTGACATAAGCTAAGGCTCTATTCCTAACCAGGTTCACATTCCCGAGAACTCGGGGTCAGAATTTTGATGTGTCATTCTGGGTGACAAAGCCTCTCTTCTCATAAGGAGAGGCTGGGTGACCCGGGCATGTTCCCTCTGCCGCTGAACACCTAGTCCTTGGCAGGGGTGGATTATGCACCACTAGATGGCACTGGGGACTCAGGGACAGGTGTCCCAGGGCTCCACAACCCTCAGTGGGGAAACTGAGCCCCACAGTGGTTGTGGAGCTGGGTGATGATAGGCCTTGCCGCTGAGACCGGAAAGGCTCTCTGCTTCGTCAGGAGTCCTTATGGTCACAGCAAAAAGCTTGCTCGTCCCTTTACCAGTTCTGAAAACACTGGTGCAGTCCCTAGGCCACTCTGGCTGCGTGTTGCCAGGCTCGACAAGCACTCTCAACAGGTTGGGAGAAGGAGAAGTGAAGAAGGGCTGTCTGAAAAGAGTAAATGTCTATCTGTCTAAATTCACTGTTGCCCTGGAAAGGGGATGGGGACAGACAGAGCCCTTTGAAAGTCTTCTCGATCAGTGTTGTGAGGACATGAGCTGCAAAAAGGCTGGAAGATTCCAGAACCAATGACTAAGTCAGGCATAATGCCTTCGAGCTACCATGAAAACACTGGCATGCACACTTAAAGGTATCCCTAAATGTAGGGACACACGGATGGATGTGTACACACACATGCACCCTTCACACCAGGATGCGCACATGCACACACACACACACGTGTATGTGTGTGTTTACATCTTCGATTCTTGAAAACTCACATATGCACATACACACTTGGCCACGCTCACGTTTATACAAACCGCCAGGAGTAGAGCCTTACCTGTGGCTGTCACAGTGTCACCTGTGGCCAGATACTGGCCCAAGATGGCGCTCATGGTGACAATGTCTGATCTAGACGTAGCTCAAAGACCCAGCCACTCTCCCTATAGGCCTGCATCTCAGCATTGAATTACCCCCTGGGTCTGTCTCCGGGGTGAGGTCTCCTTTGGATTCCTCCTCCCCACCCCACCCCAACCTAGTGTTCATCTTCTTTTCCATGGACAAGTGTCTCCTAGCGTGTCCTCATTAGTGGCATGGAGCAGCCTGAGCAGAGCTGACAAGGCCTTTCATGGGCTTTATGGTTGTGTTTGGCTACTTAGGAGCAGCTTGCTTTGATGTGGTGTGCAGCAAACAGGAGCATGTGCCTGGCCCTCAGTAACAGTCTTCTCCTGGGGGGCTCCAGGCTGGTGGCTCTTTCTAACAGTCTTTTATGGCCTTGCAGGTGCCTGAGGCCAGGATAAACTGGGCAGGCAGGCGGTTATTGATAAGGAAACTTAATACCTAACAAGTGCCAGGTGACATTTCCTCCTTGATCCACACAGGGATGAGGGCTTAGATCTGAGCTGAAGTGAATAAAAAGGATGATTGTGAAGGGAAAAGAAAACAAACCGTCACCTGCCTGGCAGCGATTAATGCACACCTGTGTTGACTTACTGGTAATGAGAACTCTTTCCCCTTTAGCTGGCTCTCTGCTTACCCAGAGGCCACATCTTTGGGCCCCTTTCAGAGAGAACTATGGCTTCAGGGGGAGATGGGTCTTTGTTCTTTCATTTTAGGAATGTGGACAACAGAGACTCAAATGAACAACTTTAGTTCCAGTTAAGAGTCCTAGCTCTAGGCTAGGAGGTGGCATAGATTCCCTCTGAGTCCAGGCTGAGCCTAAGGTAGGCTCCTCCATGCAAGAGACTAACTGTGCTGAGCTAGAGCCAAGCAGAGCTGAAAGGAGAGTGAGAGAGCCAGTCAGAGTTAGAGCAAGAATCAAGTCCAGCAAGGGCTAAGCCCAGCTTGGGTTAAGCCGAGTTGGGTGGAACACCCATCCCGCTGTCCTGGGACTTCATTGCATTGATTACTTCTGCATGGCTTCCCCTTTATGGTGCACACTCTCTGCAGACCTGCACTGGGCCCAGTCCTGAGCTTTTATTGCCTGTGAGCCCTCTGCGCTATCATAGAGTTAGTCAACATATTTATCTCCTTCATTTTATTATCAAGTAAGCCTCATAGGTGAGTCAATGGAAATGAGATCAGATGCTTCCACAAGCTCTCAGCAGCAAACCTGGGAATACTGTAAGGTGGAAATGGCTCCAGTTCTTCTTAAGCCATTACAAAAGCCAAGGGGATGTGACGTTGCTTCTCCTTGGAATGAGAGACAGAGTGAGGTCTGTGATGAGTCCAGTTCTCTGGAGGAAGAGAAGGATCTGGGTTCCTGCCTGCAGTAGAAATCCAAGGCAGATACAGCCACTGGGAACCCTGGGCCTGGGCAGGCCCACCTCCTCAGCCATTCATCCCATGCTTGATGCCCAACTGTTTTGGATCTCAAAGACAGGAGATGTGAGAACTTACTGAGAGCACAGATGTGCCCTCTTGAGGCCAAATCCAGCATTCAGCACAGAGATGTCACATGGGGCTAGCCAGGGGCTCAGACATGTGGTTATCTGGGTGTAGCAGGAAGGGTCTTTGTGAGGACAGAATCTGCCATGGTGCAGGGAAGGTGGTAGGGAGAGTGAAACCATCTTGCTTTTCTTCAGAAATGATCGGTCCTTCCCTCTAGGGTCTGCCACCTCCCGCAGCTGTCTGGAAACTCCAGCTCCTCCAGATGAGGTTGGGGCCGTTATCTTCAGGACCTTCTTGGAGGCTGTTTCTGTGTCCTGTGAAGGGTCCAGGTGAAGCCTTGAGGTACGTGTCAGTTCCTCTCACAGGGCTGCCTTGTTCTAGCTATCTGAGGAAGGGCTTCAGCACGTATCAGTGATGTCAAGGGAGCACCTATCCTTGCACAAGACTTCCAAGGCCTCTAGAGTTTCAAAGAGCAGTATTTACAGAACCGGAAGCTATGAGCACAGTATGAGCACAGGCGGTCCTATGACTCTCCTTTCCAGGATCAAGAGATCTGCTGCAAAACCTCAGGCTGGGCCTTAAGCTAGCACGACTCTGTGCCCCCAAGAGAAGGAGCACACTCCACACTTACCCTTTGCCTGTCTGTTACCACTGTGACTATCATCAAACAGTAGTCCACACTGGGGCCAGGGCATACTTGGCTATGGGACCAGATGGTGGTGGCAAGACTTGAGCCTTCATTCGGTCACCAATTCGTTTTGAGAATTTTGATACCCCATGCCAAATGTATCTATAAAACAGGTATCATAGTACATTATGCACAGAATTCTCCATGTAAGAAAGCCATGTTCCAGCATTGACTAAGAACCGGGTGGAGTGTGAGGAGCATTGGCTGTCAGTCCTGGAGGGTCCCCGTGGACAACCTTGAACCACCTGTGTCTCATTCTCCTGAAGCAGACAGTCTTGTAGTGCAAACAACCCATCTCACTGATCTCTCTAAAGTGAGGGGGTTGCTCTGAGGTAAGGGGTGTGGCCTGGGGTCAGGAGGATCACTCTGGGGTCAGCAGCATTGTTCTTTGATGAAACACTGCATGGCCAGGTGCTGCTTGCTCCCTCCTCAGCCTCTGACCTTGAGCTGGCTCCTCTCCTATGTGGCATAGCTCTGAGCAAGGTGTCTTTTGGCTGAGAATGAATTACCAGAGGCTGGAAACTGGGTCTGGCCTCTTGGCCCATCTGTTCTGGAAGTGTCAATAAGGAATGATGTCAGGGATGCCTTCCTATTCCTTTAAACATCCTTTGCATATGGCTGTTCAGACAGGCCTTACACTGATCAGCTTAATGGCGTCCATACATCTGATGGTTTAAAATATCCCAGCCAATGCATCCTTTTTTCCACGGCCTCATAAAACCTGACATTTATAATCTTTCTGTAGTCAGGCCTTAAAAGATTGGTACCACAGAGGTGACCCAGCCACATATGCACATGGTTAGAGGCCTTTTTAAATAAAGGCATCTCTCGGGGTTTGTTTTGTTTTGTTTCAGTGTTTTCATAGTGCCAGATGCTTAGTAATCTGTTGATTTAGTAAAGTATGTATTTCATCCCCAAATAAAACTCTCAAGCAGTTGGCACCCCCAAACCTCTAGGCATGGACTGAGTTTTGAACAAAGACTCTTGGCTTCTCCAGACCCCAGTGGGTCCCACCTGTGAGCAGGAAGGAGGACACGGTGCCATGTTTAACAGTCTCCGCCTGCATCGTTCAGATCAGATACTATCACCAGCAGCGTTAAAGAGTAACCAGGTGTTACACAAGCAGAACAGCCCAGGCCCACATCTATACCTGTACAAACCGCGTCTTCATCTTCACGAACACTCTGATTTTTTTATTTTAATATTTTTTAAATTTTTAAATAATTTTATACATTCACTTGTATCCCAGCTGTAGCTCTCTCCCTCTTTCCCTCCCAATCCTCCCCTCCCTCCCTCCCTCATCTCCTCTCTGCCCCCTTCCGAGTCCACTGAGAGAAGGTGTCCTCCTCTCCTTCCGTCTGGCCCTAGCTTATCAGGTATCTTCAGGATGGTTGCAATGTCCTTATCTGTGGCCTAGCAAGGCTGCTCCTCCCTTGGGGGGAAGGAGAAGCTCATGAGTTCATGTCAGAAACAATTCCTGTCCCCCTTACTAGGGAATCCACTTGGATATTGAGCTACCATGGGCTATGTCTGAGCAGGGGTTGTAGGTTATAGCCATGCATGGTCCTTGGTTGGATCAACAGTCTCATAGAAGACTAATTCCTCCTTCCTTCATATGATTCCATACACTCTGCCAAAGGTTTGGTTATGGGTCTCAGCATCTGCTTTGATACACTGCTAGGTAGAGTCTTTCAGGTGCCTTCTGTGGTAGGCTACTGTCCTGTTACTTGTTTTCTCCTATTTCCAATGTCCATCCCCTTTGTCTTTCTAGATGAGGATTGATCATCTTACCCCTGGACCTCTTTCTTGTTTATTTTCTTTAGGTGTACATATTTTGGTATGTTTATCCTAACTCTGATTTTTTTTTTTTTATGGGTGGCGGGCCGTATTTTCTGTTCTCTCCACCAAACTTCTTCCTCAGATTTAAGAAGATGAACGGTGAGTTTGCTGGTTAGTATTTGCTCTTCCATCGGACACTGTTCTGGGGGTACTCAGAGCCACTGGTCAGCTGGGGACAGGGAAGTCTTTCTGTCCCTCTGACTTGCATCCTGAGAGCTCTGCCCCAGACCACACAGCGGGGGGTGTGACAGTGATGGTGACAGGATGGTCCTGGTGTTCAGTGGCCTCTGATGTGGCTCTGTCTCTGAAAGACAGAGCTGAAATGGGCTACACTGCTGTTAGGTGTGAGCCACCTTCTCCTGCCTGTGACTTTACGGGGAGCCTTGCCAGGTTCCTGGGGAGCTACCGTTAGGTGCTCCTGTTGTCCTCTGGCCAGAGACTCCAGTTACCCCACTTTCTGGTAAGATGCATGTTCTACCGCAAAGCCCCTTCACTCTGTCTTCTGTCTCACTATCAGGCTTGCCAGTCCACACAATTGCTTCTGATTCTTGAAGGAGAGGGCGTGCCTGGCAGGCATGTGGCATGTGTTTTGGGAGCCCATTAGGTTCCCTGTCTTCCTGGGCACGAGATGTTGGTATGAGGTGAGGGGTTTTTCCTGCCGCTGGCCCTTCATTTCTGTAGTGGAGCTGAATCAATTGGGCAGCAACCACACCCGTGCCTGCCTCACACCCTTCCCAGCAGAAATCAGTGTGCTCCAGTGTCACAGGAGCTAATGGCAGCCCTAGGAAACTGATCCGTCCTGTCGAAAGAGGATTTCTGCCATTTCTAAGAGAGGGTTGTTTTCTTAATTCCAGTTTATTTACTTTACATCCCAAGGGTACCCTCTTCCTCCTCTCCTCCCAGTCCTCCTTTCCCCTTCTCTCCCCTTCCTTTTCCTTTTCCTTTCCCCCAGAAAAGGGGAGCCCCCTCCCCTCATAGCCACCCTCCCTAGCAATCAAGTCACATCAAGATTGAGCAGACTGATGCCAGGCAAGGCAGCCCTGCCAGGGGGAAGTGATCCAAAAGTAGGCAATAGAGCCCATGTTAGAAACAGTCCACTCATCAGGCGTTCCATATGAAGATCAAGCTGCTCATTGGCTGCAATATGTGCAAAGGGCCTTGGTCCAGACCATGGTGTCTCAGTCTCTGTAAACCCCAAGAGCTTTTCCATCTTTCTGCTGATTTTAGTCTGTTCTGTGCCACGCTATGTCCTAGGGGCATTTAGGCTTTCCTCCTAGATGGTCCATAGGAAATGGGGGCAAGGCCCAGCGAACGCAGGAACTGAGTATGATCAGCTTCCCTGTCTTTGAACCTAATGGGGGAAGTATGAGCTTCCCATTGCTGCTGTGACAAGCCACCCCTCCCTTGGTGACTTAAAGTAGCACAGATCTGCTATTCTAGGGTTTTGGAGGTTAGAAACCTGAAGTCAGAACCACTTTGAAAAGGGGTAGGTATGGACAGGGCTGGCTCATTCTTGAGGTTCTGGGCAACATCCTTTTCCAGTTTCTAGAGGTGTGTGTGTGTGTGTGTGTGTGTGTGTGTGTGTGTGTGTGTGTGTGTATGTGTGTGTGTGTGTGTGTGTGTGTGTGTGTGTGTGTGTATGTATGCATGTTCCCCCACCTTCTACATGTGCTACCACTGTAGCATCTGCTCCTGGAATGTAGCCACTCTTTGCGGGGAACATGCTGTCAGGTAGCTTTTTCCTCCTAGAGGGAGGCATTTACAAGGCTGAGGAAATTTAGAAGACTCAAGAATTTCCTGAAACTCACAAGCTCCCCCCACCCCCAACCACATAGCTGGAGGGGGGCTATTATGGTTGTGCAGGGAGCTCTGGGAATGGTGCAGACCCTGTGACTGTTCACTCAGGTCTTTGGAGATGCAGCTGCCTAGGAGTCACCCACGCTTCTGTGAGAAACCTGAATAAACTCTGGTTCACCAAGTTGGATCGGGAACGATGGTTCCTTTTGTCTGTCATTTTTACCCCATCTGGGGAGAGCAGACACTTGCTTATTTCTCCCCACAGGAAGCCAAACAAAAGACCCTCTCCTTCTTTCTCAAAAGGACACTTGAGACTGTGCCCAGGGTTTACTAGTCAATCTAGGACCATAGCCTACCCATCTGTCTCCCCAAGGCTTCTGCCTTGCTCACATTTGTAAAGTCCCTTTGCTGTAAACCATGTCTACAGGCTTTAGGAGATCAGGTGAGGGTCATTTATGTAGCTTTCCCTACTGGTCCCACTGGCTGAAGGTTTTCTGTAGGGTCTACACCGAGGCCATATGGACCCAAACCCTCTGCAGTTAATTTGTTCAAAGCTTTGACTTCAGTAGTGGGATACCTGAAGCCACTGTGTTCCCGTTGAGTAGATCGGGAGTTCTGGGTACCACTGCCAGAGTCCATATCGAGAGTCAGGCCTCGGGATCTTTACTTAGAACGTTTCCCACTTACAAAGTGTTGTCTGTGGACACTGAAGATGGCCATGTGTGGCAGCTGTTGAAATGAAACAGGGGCCAATAAAGGAACAATGAGTCAGGCTGTGGTCAGTTACACCAGCCAAGCTCTTGTAAATGGTGGGGGCTGTGGGACTCCAGTGATCCCACACGGGGCTCTCTCCTTGAGAGTCTTAACGGATACCTGCCGTGATGACCACTCAGCTGCCATATGCTTGAAGTAGCATCTACAAAATAATAATGAGTCTTTGGCTTTTCCATGTCTTTAAGGGATTGTGAGGCTCTGATCTCTCTCTTTCTCTTAGTTTTCTTACTCATTAAAGAGTGGGTATTCCCAGTTTTGGACTAGACCTTTCAAAACTGTCATTGAAAATAAGCATTTTTGTGGTTATAAGTAAATTATTTTAGGTATTTTGGTATATCTGATTAATATGAGAAATTGGTATGAGGAGGGAGATCATTAGCTATTGGGCAAGGTGGAGGAGGCTTTGCTTTATAGGAGGATCTTGGGGGACTTTAAGGAGCAGCTACAGAAACCCAGGATGCAGTGAGGAGAATTTACTGGGCAGTATGTCCAGAGCAGAATGCTGAAGGGAATGTGGACAGGAAAAGCCATCCTGCTGAGGTTTCAGATGGACATGATTAGCCTCCTGGGAACTGGGAAAGAGGCTACAACAACAAAATGATTGCATTTTGTCCATGTCCTGGGACTTGGTAGAAGAGTGAGCTTAAGGTGAAGGACATCTTACCTGATGGAGAGAATTTAAAGGCAGCACAGCGTCCAGGCAGTGGCATGAGTCTGTCTACTTTTAGCCAACTTTAGGCTGAGAATCAGCAACAAGGAGGAACAGAGCACCGGGATCTGGAAACACTGTGGCATGGCCAAGAAGGAAGTGTATATTTTTGTTGTATCCAGGGAAGGTATAATCAACAGTTCAATATAAAGATCCCAAGCGCTTTAGGCATCTACCTCAGGCTCAGAAGTGTAAAAAAATGCAAATGTGTTTCAAAGATTTTCCAGGGCAGATTTTCTCCCCTAAAGAGCCCTGGGGTGCTCTGCATGCCCAGAACTGTCCTTGGATTCAGACCCATTTCCCTCTGTTTAGCAATGAAATGTCCCAAGGGTACCATAAACATGGTTCAAGTTACCTGTTGGTTCAAGCACACCTCACAACTGCCTCCACTATGCTGGTTCTGCAGACACACAGAAGGTAAGAGTTACTGCACCATGGAGGGTTCCAGTGGATTTTCAAGGGAAGGCTCTGAATGCCAAGGTACTGTGTGGCGGGGTCAGAGAGGTTGCACACAGTCACCAATAGGACAGTGCAGACTCAGCCATGTGAGGCCATGTGCCTGGAAAGCTATGGGTAGCATGCAAAGCAAGCCTGAGAGGACAGTCACATGTATTGCAGCCAGCCATGTTATAAGGGTGGAGTTCCAGGGAGTTCACACCCCATGATCCTTAGAAGTTGCCATGGAAAGTGTGACTTCAAGTTATATTTTCTTTCTGAGTTTGGATCTTGGGGTGATCCCTCCTTTCTGCTTCTCACTATTCCTCATTCTTTTACTATGAATCTGGGTGTTGAAAGTTTGTAGCAGGAGCCCTAGTCAAGTTTGTCTGGAGCCTCAGAGGAGTCTTCAGACTTGACTCAGGGTGATGCTGGGCAGGCGAGACTTGGCGAGTGTTGTGAAATGGTCATGAGCCTTGGGGCCAGGGATGAAGTGCTGTATGTTGATGTTGGGTGTGTCCCATAGGCTGTGTGTAAAAGGCTTCTCACCAGGTTAGTGCCCCTGGGAAATAGAGATGGGGCTGGCTGGGGCTGGCTGGGAAGTCCTTAGGTCTAAAAGGCATGCCCTGAAGAGAAATGTGGCGCTCCGGCTCTTCCTCCTCTCCTTTGGCTTCTTGGCAGTGAAGTCTCTTCTATCTAATTCTTCCTACTAGTACCCAACAATGCCCTGAAAGCTGAGTCTGTCCAACCATGGACTGGAACCACTAAAGCCATGAGACAAAATAGAAGTTTCCTCTTTATAAGCTAATTATCCCAGTTTTTGTTGTTGTGTTATCATAACGGTATTATTATCATCACAGAGCTATGTGGTTTCCCTTTGAGGAAATGATGTTCATGTACTGGGTGACTTAGAAAGGAAAGCTTGAATTTCTTTTTTCAAGGCAGTGTTTCTCTATGTAGCCTTGGCTGTCCTGGAACTCATTCTGTAGATCAGGTTGGCCTCGAACTCTCAGAGATCCTCCTGCCTCTGCTTCCCAAGTGCTGGGATTAAAGGCCTGAGCCACCATACCTGACTTAAAAAAAAAAAAAAAACAAAACTAAATTATCACTGTATTTGGCATGTATTCGTTATACATGGTGATAGGTCTCATAAAGACTTTTTCAATAATATTTTAGGTATGTCAAGTATTTTCCACCCTACTCCATACCCTCTTCTTCTCCTTATTCCCCTTCATCACTTTCCATTATCTGCACGCACATGTGATTTTACATATCTGTATAGATTCTAGTACTCACAGACAAGAATATCTGATATCTGCCTTTCTGAATGGGACTCATTTTGTTCGGTGTAGAGACTGCCAGTCGCACCCATTTCCCTACAAGAACTTTTTTCTATGACTAAATGGAATTCCACTGAGCATCTGTAATACATTTCATCCACATCTGTCATGGGCATCTTAGCTGACCATAATAACTTGGACAGTGTGAACAGTGCTCCTGTGAACATATATTCGAAAGCATCTTGGAGACACGTTGACTTTGGGTCTACCCCAAGGAGTGGTAGGGCAGGCTGATCTGGAAAGTTCCATTTTCCCAGTTTTTGAGGAACCCCAGCACTGATGTCCACAGTGGCTCCACCACTCCCCAGCAGTGCATAAGGGAGCTTGAGCACTTTTGAAGATGCTTTCCTCTCCTATTCTTCTCATCAGCAGCTCTCAGCTCAGGACACAAAGTGAGTGCGGGTCTGGAAAGTCTCGGGCAGGGAACTGGGTATGGGGAAGTCAGGCTATTCCCTCAGACTTGAGCTCTCTGTCTGTCAGAGCAGAGAAAACATGTTTTTCCTAGTCTAAAACCACTCACAAATCATGGGTTATACATTACAACAACAAAAGCCCAGTCCTGTTCAGAACTGACACACATCGCCACCCGGCACGTATTGGAGGAGTACAGGCTGTGGGTTCTGTGCATGAGGAGGCTTTCCGTGCAGTGGGTGGCTGCCTCTCCTAAACGGGGCTTCCAGGGACAGTCCAGGGCACTGGCAGGGGCCCCCAACCACCAATGGCTGGCTTGGAGGCCACAATAAGGTGGGGGGGGGATCGGTAATACATAGCTTATATTTCCCTTAAAATGTCTGCTGAAAAAAATTAAAGGGAAACGTGGTTGGCCAAATGTATTTGGGTTTTAATCAAACCAGAGCTATGTGAAAAAGAGCCTGAACGCTCAAATAACTGAGGCCACAGACAGGAGCTCACAACAGTGCCCTTGGGCCTGATGTGTGGAGGGCTTCAGATCTAACCTGGGGGGGGGCAGGTAGCCACAGTCAGTGTGGGCTCTGATAGTGAGGTGAGTTCATATTTCTGAATCTGCAGCACACTCAAGAAAAGCTGCTTCCTCAACTCCTTCATCAGAGAGGCCCCTAACAACCCATCTGCTTCATTATAGGAGTTCACACAGGAACCTAGAAAGCATGGAAGTGGGGAGACAGCTGAGTAGCAGGCAGAGCAGCCCAGACCTAGATCACGGCTTGGGTCTGCCCTGAGACAATGTGCAAGGGTGGCTGCTTCCTGGAGATGTGGCCAGTGCTGCCCCTGAGGGACCAGGAGACTCTTTGTAGGTTATTTCCATTCTTTGTCCTCCTGAGTAAAAGGGAAGATGGAGGGTGTCTATATTCTGCTATGTTTGTCTGGGCTTTGCCTTGGCAGTCGTGCCAAACACAGGCCTGAATGTTTCCCAGGCCATCAAATCAAGGTGTAACATCCAAGCTCCTGGCAGAGCCCCTGAGGAGAAGCCTTTTGATGCCCCCTCAAAAATTAGCTCATTGATTAACGTCCATCCTGAGAAGATGTGAGAAAAGAAAGGCCAATCTTCAGGGTAGTGTCTGACCCAGGCTGACTCCACCCTTTAGTTTCAGGTCTACGCAGCACAGGAACCACCCACAAGCTGCCTGCACCTGCAAACATTGGTCGAGGTGGCCAGGTGGTCCGAAGGGCACCTGCCGGGCCAGGTGTGTCCAACGCGGTGAGTTTGCCAGGTATGTGGCCCACTTCACAAGCTCTTCACGGCCACTTCTTCTCCTTGGTAGAAACCAAGTGGAACAAGTAGCCTCAGGTTGCTGAAACTGAAAACTGTCACCCTTCTCTTCTGTAAATGAGCCTGTAATCTACCCTGAGGCTTGCAAAAGCCCCTAATCCTCACTGGGCTCTGCACAGAACTACAGCCAAGCTGGTGCCCTCAGCCCATGTGATCCTGGAGGAGCACTGCATACGTGTCCCGGGGATGTGAGGTGAGCAGACAGAGCCCCAGCTTTGAGACACGAGAGTCCCCGTGCTTGGCTGGGGCTTCTGTGGACGCTCCACATTTGGCCATGGTTGCTGATCAGCCGTCCTTGGAGGATAGTTGAGGGCACAGGCCTGGTAGCAAGTCTCAGCCAAGGCCTGGCAGCAGTTCCCAGAACCTGGCTGGGCTTGTAGCACACCTGGCTGATCTGCAGCTCTGATGGGAACTGATCTTCCTCCAACAACTTCCGCACTGAAGGAAGGCAGAGTCCCGTTCAAACAAGGAAGAGCCTCGGCAGCCTGGCTCTCCAGCTCCAGAATCCAGAAGAGTTCCACCCGCACAAAGACAAATGCAAGCCACGCCAGGAGAAAAGAGGACACGAATAAGACCTTGTACCCTCCTCCACTGCTGAGAAACCCCATCACTAATGATGTGAACACAAAGCACTATCACACCCGTGACTAGCCAGGCTTCTTGCAGCTGAGTAGCCTCAGGCATCTTCTGTCTAGTATTAACTTGTCATATATATGTATTTTTATTTAAGCACAACTAAACCAAATATTGCATGCATATTTTGGCCTGCCCTTGACTTGAAGGCTCACACATGTTTAAATTCAGAGCCAGCTCTGGACTCTTTCTATGTCTTCAGGTAAGCAGGGCTCCAGGATTCTCTTTGTACCCTAGTGGAGACTCCCAAATTTCCTCTCTGCTGCTGGAACACAGTGTGCAGGGCTACAGCTGCCCATGCCTCTGCCTTATGTGGCCTTTCACCTAGTACCAGTGTGGTGGGAACATTGAGGATCTTCCCTGTGAGAGCCACCAAAGACATGGGGGTATCTCCACAGAGACACAGATATCCATATAGACATATATATCCACAGAGACACGGATGGAATACAGCAACACTGAATTCTGTCCCTGCCTGTCCTCAGTGGTAGAGAAGGACGGCAGCAGCACGAGAAGCCTAGGGCCAGCTCAGGAGAATAGGGGCCTCTGTCTAGGGAGTTGATCTTATGGGCAGAGAACAGCATAAAGTGTCTTGATGCAGTAATCCTCTCTGCTTGGGTACACCCTGCAGCTGAGCTGCTCAGGCCTGCGGCAGCAGCATCTCTCAAAGGCCCCTCACAGCTCCAAGCTCCCCCGGGAGGAGCGAAAGCCTGAGCTCCAGCCAGGCCATCTCAGGGAGAGTCTGTTCCTCAGTTCTGTCGGTTTATGTTTCTGGGCGAGGGTTCTTTAAAGAAAGGAATCTGAGTCCAAGGCTAAAATCAGTCTGTGGAAACCCATACTTTAGGCCTTGGATGACCTCTGAGGGCTTAGCACTGTGTTTCAGCCTAACTTGCAGCCACCGTCCACTCCACTCTGTGACAGCCACCTGCCTCACAGTCTGCGGGGGCCCTAACACAGTCACATCTGGCGGGGCAGCCCAGGAGACTGCAGAACTCCGCATCACTCTAACAGCTGACGTCCAGGGGCACTTCACCAGAAACATGATATTTGAGCTGACAAAAATACAACTGGGAAGCCAACAGGAGCCACCTATAGAAAACAAACGAACCACGTCGGATAAGTCAGGATCTGGGCAGATGGGATTAAATCAACATTTTTAGGCATCGGTCATGTGTGAGCTTTGTGAAGTGACATAAACAGAAACAGTCTTGGTTCCGGCCCCCTGGGTAAGAGAGCCTGGATTAAAATTCTGTTTAGTTTTTAATCCCCCGCAGTGGGTAGTGAAATCATCGTATCTGGGCGGACACAGAAAGTCAGTTATTTCCAGAAGTTATTATGTAATATAATCATCTAGGCACAGGCTTCACATATGCATTTGTCTGTATGTTGAATACAGGTTTTGCTGGGCACTGGGGAGAGGGAAGCCTGCTCCTGGTCCTGTGTCCCCTCAGACCCTTGTAGGTTTTGTAGTGGCGCTGGAAATCACATATTACACAGAGCCTCCTGGGCCTGCCTGAGTCAGGCTGGGACGCCCCTGTCGAGGACAGAGAGACAGAATACACACCTCCTCAGGCCAGCTCAAAGAAAGGGATAGCTCAAGCTGGGAAGCCCCACATAGCTGCTTAGGGGCCACCACAGCCCACTCTTTGTCATTGTCTCCCAGCTTGGACATATCAGAGGCTCTTTTGTGTTTTGTAGGGGAATAGAACCGTGTGTGTGTGTGTGTGTATGTATGTATATATGGGGATTTATTAGATTGGTATATGTGATAGGGGTTGTCTGTACGCTGGGAAGGCTGAGAACCTGGTGGTTGCTCGCTCTACCAGGCTGAGTGCCTCAGCTGTCCCAGCCTGGTGCTGAAGGCCTGGAGGAGGTCCCCAGGAGACACCCCAGGCCTCTTTGGCCGACTGCAGTCTCCTCTGCTGGGATTTCGACAAAGCTCTCTGGAGAAAAATGTGAGTCAGTGCTGGGAAAGGGGTGTATAGTTCCCTGGTGGGCCACGGTATGGGGACACTTGTCCTCACCATGTCCAGCTAGTGAGACTCCATCTGCATGTGTGGCTTGAATTGATAACTGTACGGTTTTTATTTTTTAATCTCAAGTGAAGCCGAAGGGTTACTAAGCAGAGATGTTGATGTAATGTAAGGATGGAGTTGAGGAGGAGTGGGAGAGGGAGAAAGGTTTAGGACAGTGTGCATACTCAAGGAGGGTTAGCATAAACTTCACAAGAGTCCCCAGCGAGTCTATTGTTAATTTCCTCTTACAGACTGGCCTTTTTCCAGTTATGAGAATAATAGGTTTGCTTGAGAGAGAGCAAGGAAAAGTGAGAAAAAGAGAGAGAGAGAAAAAACCATAGAAAGTGTAATATGAATGAAGATGAAAGAAAAGAAGATAGTTGTGTAATCCTGACATGGAAAGCCCCTAAGATTTTGGAACATCTTCTAAAAACAACAACAAAACCCACACTTGGATAATGGACCCCTGCACATATATGCATGCATATACATGCCTGCATACAGGTTCAGAAATAGGCTCATGTACACTTACACACGCGCACACACTTATACCACGACACTGGCATAGAGGTACACATACACCTAACATCATGCATGTGTGCTCATGTTCATACGGGGCCACACGGAAATATAAGCATGCACAGGGACACACAGATGCAGTGTGGCGATGCACCCACATAGACATGCTCTCTCTCTCTCTCTCTCTCTCTCTCTCTCTCTCTCATTCATCCTCAAGAGGCATTGATGTGACAGGCTTTGCTGTCAGATGAGACCCAGCCTCAGAGCAGTGCGCTGTCTTGGGCTCAGTGCCCCCCCTGAAGATGGAGTGGGAGCAGTCTTCATTCCCTCGTGCTTGCCGAGCAAAGGCACAAAGCATGTGGGCAGCCTGAAGCACAGAGAAAATGCTAGGATCCTGGCATGTATATAAACACACTGAAATGGTACAGGCCACGCTTAGACTCTTTTTTTCTCTCCTCCATGCTTCCAAAGCTTTTCATACAATGTGCACCATATTCATTAAGCCAGCCCCTGACTGTTAGGGTGATCTCTGAATTTTCTCTGGTATGTGAAGCTTCAGTGAGCATCCTTCACATAAGACATTGTGGAGGACCCCAGCAGTTTCTTTACATGAATGGATGGCCTTCCCCGTCTCCCAGGATTGCCCTGAATTCCAACTCAACCTTCCAGCAAATGGTAATTTTCAGTATACCGTTCGCTTCGTGGAGACCCATACTGGTCTCCTCTTCCCATCATTTAAAACATGTGTCAGCATGGATAAGATCGTGTGGGCTTAGCTGACAGTATCTCTCTCCTTCTTTCCCTTTTTCTTTGGCCTCCCTCCGACCTGCCACCTTCCTCCTTCCCTATCCATTACAACCATATGTCTCTGTGTTTATGATTATGTTTTAAAAATCTGGCAACTTTGAAAGAATGAGCACACTGTCATTGAGGCTGTGTATCTTCAGCAGGATGGGGTGGGAAGGCAAATAGAAGGTGCTCAGGTGTTAGGAGCCAATAGTGGTGAGTTACAACAACTCGTGATGGCTCTTCTGTAGCTCACCAGGGTAGGTGTGAAACCTATACTGTCCTTCCCCATACATCTGCCAGGAGCACTGCTCTTACCCACACGAGAGCCAGAAGAGCAGGAACTGGTTAAGTGACAAAATGACACTCAGTACTTGCACCATCAAGAAGGAAAGCAGTATTGCCCCATGCCTGGCACCAGC